TTCTGAATGACTGATGGTGTCAATTATGGGAAAAATCAATGAATCTAGTCTATTGTAATGACATCTTGAATAATTTTATTATTTCAATTACACAAACAATCAAACATTAGTGCAAAACCTAAGAATTTATTTCCTATGCATGTATGTATAACAGTAGGCACTTAAAATTCCATATCTAATGAAATAATTTATTATCTCTAAAAAAATTTCACAAATTCTTGAATTATGATGCAAGATAAGTGATCTCTCATTGTTCTCATTATTAAAGTTTAACTAATTAGTCATTAATATGAGTACAACAAATTTTTAGAACAGTCAACTCAAATAGAATGTAATATCATTACTTGCATTTTGAGTAACGATATCACACAATTCAAGATTGTTTCTCGTTAATTAATCGTCTAGCTTTACATATTTCTTTTTTCTACATTTTTTTTTAAATAATCATTCAGAGCCAAATTAAGCAGATCTTGTACTTTAGACGGTAGTTAGTTGATAAATCGATGTATTAAAAATTCTTTTTGATAAATACCTACATAATATTTGCATATAGAGATTGAAAATTTTCTGATTAATAGAAATTTGTATACTAACAAATGTGACGGAATCGAACTCGTAAGTTAGGGCAGTGGTACCATACAGGCAACACACCTGGTTGTATTTAATACATATGTATGACGTGATACTACAATAACAAATGATATTTTTTTTTCATTTAAGAGTTTCCTCTTGTCGGTGCAACTAATTCATGCATCTTCCTCCAGCCAGCTCTATCCCAGGCCATATCCTTTATCTCCCTATATGACATGACGCCTAGTGTTTCCTTTATCTGTCCCATGTAGTTAATCCTCGGTCTTCCTCTTCCTCTTTTGCCCTCTATCTTTCCTTCTATTATGCTCTTAAAAAAATCGTCATGTCGTATAAGGTGGCCCAGCATTTTGCCTCTTCTATTCTTTATTATTTTAATCAATGTTCTCTTCTCGTTTACTTTTTTTTTATGATAATTTAAATGATATTTATACACGCGTAAATGTGCATATCTCGAACATGATGGTGTGTTCCTTTTTGAATTGATCATAGATGAGTCGTAAAAAGTATATGAGTTTGAGCTCAAGATAGGGTCAGGGAGTGATAACAGATTAATTATTTTATTTACAATGCGACGCAACATTAAGATAGCTTGTCAATTTATGACAACTACTATTTACAAGCATATTTAGCGTGAATATGATAGCATGAATATAAGAAAGTAATCATTTCGCATAAATTGTATCATGGACGTCACAGATGGGAAAGCTCGTGTAAGACTACATACGCATATATGTATTATTTTACTAGATATGCATATGCATGACTAAAATGAATCTATCTCGAAACTACTTGTAATATTGGAAGAGTTTCTCACAGTAACGCAGTAAGTATAAACAAATCTCTAAAGCGTGCTGTTCAAGGCAACAGAACAATTTCTCCTCAGGGTCGGCGGTATATTAGGGTCCAAGTTCACCAAACAACCTCGATAGTCTAATAACTGTATGCCAACCCTCAGTTCATAAGGTGCAAGTCACGCGATAGCGATACCACCCCGCTCGGAGTGTTTGGCTTTAATGTTGGGATATTAGAGTTATCGATGCCTATAACAAAGATTATTGTTTTTGACACCATAGAATGGAACGACAAATACCTTTTATTATGTAGCTGTTATCAAAAAAACAAAGGATTAAAAATAAATTTAAATATACGAAAGTCTTTATATGAAAGTAAATAATTCTTTGGTGTAAAAATATTATCAAGATATGGCATTAGATAAAAAGGCATTACTACTAATACTTATTCAATCAACAGTCTAAGCCAATTTTACGAATCGCAGTCTTATCACAGATAACTAATAGATAAATTATTGATATTGTTAATGCATTCTATTACGTATTCGTAGAAATTTCATTCTTTGAAAGCTACGCAATTAGTGTTCTGGCTATTAGATTAGTATTGTTTAATTAGATGTGGAACCATTATATATTGTCCGGGGTATCATTAGTGTGTGATGCGATAGACGATTAGTACAAATTACTTATGCAGGGTTCGAACCTATAAAGATTGGCAGATGAAGCATGTCTATTATCAACCTTCATCGATTTTGATAGTTCTAGTCCATTTCAACTTGCAATTTATAAGTAGGATTAAATATTAATTAATATAAAATAAAAGTTCATGTTATGTTTTTAAAATCCTGTTATGCTCCAGTTTGTTTTTCTTTGCAAAGCATCGACATATTGATTTCTTTGGCGTTACTACACTACATCATTAGCGGCGCGGGCCATTGCCAGTGGCGCTACAAGGACAGGGTCTTGCTCAGTCATGGCCACGACCTTGTCTAATGCACACCTATATTTCTTTTTTTTTTCTTTGCTTTTAATGTATTTCTTTCAGAACTAATTTCTTTACGGCGCGTACCGAAGATTAGATTGCTTTCACAACATTATTCTCTATATCTAATCATTAAAAATACTTTATCTACGTGTCACATTCATATTCATAAATATTTATTACTTATTTGTTATTTCGCATGCAAATCCTTTTTCTTAAGCAGCGTTGTAACAAAATATTTTTTAACAAGTATTGATTAATGAGCTCAATAGGTCAGTTGCTGTTAGATATTTAGACCAATTATTTGTTTCTTTCCAAATGTTTATTTTTAGTCCAATATTTCGTGGTCAATGATGCTCCATGTATGTTTGAAACTTTATCAAATTACAACCTTACATCAAAACTATACGGTTTCTACAGTGTCTGGATTGTGGGTGTATGTAACGACTGCAATTCGATCGAATATTCGAAGCTTGATCAATCTCAACTTTATGTTCCTGTCATAAGGCTTAATTTGATAAGCTTTAATTACATTTCAATTATTTATTATATTGTTCTATTTATAGCACCAAAATTTAATAATTGATCAAATATATTATATTAATAGGATAAAATTTTGTTTATAAATGTTTTATACAAATTCCAATCATATATACAGGAAACTGGGGCGCAAGTGTCTTAAATACCAAAATATCCTAATTTGAGGACTTTCAGGAACGGCGCAATTAATAGGTTTGTTTGCTGTTGTAACGGGCTAACGCACTAATTAGAAATAATTTTTGTTATTGACGCTGGCAAATAGACATTACTTGATGTTTTTCAAACAAGGCCTCCTTTATCATGCATTATTTAATTTAAATCTATTACAAATATGAAAGTCATAAAATCAAGATAAGGTTACGTAATATGTAGGAAGTGTGACATTGCTGGAGTACTTTATAAGTAATAACCAGAAGTGAATAGAATTCTTCCAGGTTTGCACATAAATATGAAGTTTTTATGAAACAGATATACATTATTACAATAATTATTTTTACATATAAAAATAATTATTACAATATATATATAATTTTTAAATCAATAAGTACTGACGTCAATTCTAAGGTAGATCAACAGATCAGTAGGGTACTTTTAATTCAGATTATGATCGCCAATTTATTCAGCAGCGTGTTTACGATATCAAAGACGTATTATTAACATAGGATGGATGGATGTATGATTTTAATGACGCAGGTTTTGCCAAGTCGTGAGACACGTGGGATATTAAACAATCTTAATACATGAATATATTTAAATGGTGCTAATGAGCACAACCCTACATTTGTCAATGTCTGTCAAAGGAAATAAAAGTATAGTTGGAGCACATCCTCTACTTAATTTTTCCTTAAAAATCTTAAATGCTAATGATATTCTGACTGATGAGAAACTTTCTAACGTGAGACTTTTAAGTGATTTGAAATGCTATATAGAGACGTCGGAGATAGAGCTAAGCGGTGAAGAAAAATTAGTTACACTGACAAAAAAAAAGCAAGGAAAAGGCAATACGATATTTTAACTAATAAACATTGTCCCCGTTAAAATTAAGCCTCCACGGATTGTTCGTGATTTTTCCTGTGTAACTACATTTTTATTGCATACCAATTTCCGTTATTCGACTTGTTATATGAGGCATTGAATGTTTTACGATCGTTTCACGATTTTCTTATATATTATGCTATACCAACAACCGATAATGTCAGTGAAGGCTTTGTTTTCAAATTCAGTTTTTTTTGAAACTATTTTATCAGTGACAGCAAATTTTGTGCGTAATATGAACCATAATAATCGTGCTAAAATATCTTTAAAATAGAATATAATAGTAAAAAAGCTCCCTGTGCATATCATTTATAATAACATAGATAAAGAAAGATAATGTATTAATACTTTTTCTATGATAATATGTAGGTATATAAGTATTAATATTTGTAAGTTATAAAAATAGCTGCATATTCCACTCTATCATCTTCAAAATAGATAGCTTGTAATTATTAATAAATTTAATTGCAACAGTCCATTAATATATTTAATGAATTAATCTGCCGGATCGGCACACATACACAATTATATTAAAATTATATGTTTAATTAGCTTTACAGCTACATTTATTATTTTATTATAGTCCTCAGCCTTATCCTGTTTTACCAGAAACTTTCTATTATTTATTTTAATTAACTATAATTTACAAATAAAATTTATGGTCATTGACCTATAGTTATTTATATGTTTATCATCGTGTTTGTTTAGGTACGTTCTGCATATTAATCAGTAAACATGGTACTAGACTGTTCTGTCAACACTTTCCTTATCGATTGTTAAGGTAGAATATAGCATGTAATTACATTGCGCGTTCATTATGTTATCAATTTTAAATCGTTAATTAGTAGTTCATAATTTAAAAATATATTATTCTTATTTAATTGACCATGATCGTTATTAATTAATCAATGGATCGTAGCAAATGATCGTGTAATGTTTATGTATGATGTTAACTTGCCACCTCTCTATAAGTGCAAAGACGGACCATAAACTGCCTACGTGACTAAGAACAGTACAATATATCTGTTTGAAATACTGACGTCACTTTTCTATTGTTTCAGTTGCCTGCTGCAGTCAAGTTCCTGGACGGTTATGGGGCAGCAATTGACTATAAGCCAACCGTTATAGAGTACAAAGAAAGGCAAAAAATGCGGGAGCCGGCATCGGCGATATCATGACGAAAACCTGTGCGAATTAACAGTCAGACACATATAGTATTGGCAGGTTTCGAATTAGGCTTCGACATTCGTTTTTTTTTAATAAATCGCTCCAAGGCGTACTAAACAAATAGTTGTGAAATATTGATAACGTTAAATTATCGCATATTATTATCTCGACTAAATCCATAACGACTGTACGCGTTAACCGATAACAGTTGATAAGTTGTGCCGATTTTGAACAGACGTCGTTCAGTGTCGCGCTTTCGCTGTGAAAAGACGTGTCATATAGTGTGCTGTTAACGCTCGGTTTAATGTTTAGGAATACTCTGACTATTAGTCGGTGGGGACCAAGCAGAGACGGGCTAAATTGTGTAGTGCTTTGTTTAAAACTGTGAGTGGTTCCAAAACATGCGTTCTGAAGAATTTTGGTGTAGTCTGGCCGCATTGGGCTGGTTTACCGCTTTCGTTGGATGCCATGCTCCGGGAAGCGAGCTGGAGTCCGTCAGGTATGGCCCGGCCGAGGATCGAATCGACACGTTCACAATTGCAAATATCAACTTGACATACGAGGACGAGCATGGTGGTGTCTATACGGAGACATCAGAGGTGAGTGCTGTTTATCATTACGGCCTATTATTTACATGCATTTACTTTATCGTTTCGATAATAGGCAATGTTATTATGAAAGTTGCTAATTTGTACGTAATAAGTATCTATAATTAGCATCATCAACATAGGAATGCATTAATTTGATTGGCTAGACAGTAAGTACTTAGAACTTTTGTATTTTTTTAGCACAAAATGAGTAAACAGAATCTTATTTAATCCTGAGCTATGTAACGTTGAATTCATTGTGTTCAACTGAACAGTGGTAATGTAAATGCTAAGTCTTGTGGTCGGCGATTAGACATAAAAGTCGGAATGAACAAAGGGTACCTTTTGATGTTTATCTGATTGTAAGCTTTAAGCTGGAGATATATTTCAGGAAAACGTTCCCTGAAGTCAGTAAAGTGCAATAGAATACTATATGTACATATATTATGTCTGTAACATTTGTCCCCGTGGTGATTTTTAATTAATTTTGGAAAACGTATTTTTCGGACATATACATAAATAAACATTTATTTATTTATGTATATTATCATAATATATATTATCGTACCTGCATATCAATTTATTAGCTTTTTGTCCACTACTTCGTACACGTGAATTTCAGAAGTAGGAAAACAAATGAAAAAGACCATTTCTAGATGGTGTATTGAAATAAAGCATACACTAGTTGTTAAGTTAGACTTTCAGGTACACAATAATGAAAATTGCATTCATTTTGGTTTAATAGTTTCTGCGTAATATCGGAACAAGACATACAGACTAATAGTCAAAAATATAGTCTGACAAATATTCTAATTAATATTGTTTTGCGTCTAATGTTTATTTATATGATTTTGTACATTGATTTATAGATATTAGGTTATAACAAAAATGTACACAGGTTACTTATCCCTTAGAGGGATTTCTTCCAGTCAACCTGGAGAACATACGGTTCCTATTAATTTTTTTTTTAAATATGTTCCATATAATGGCACTGTCCAGTTACAATTTTATTATATTAGTAAGATTTGTCTGTTTGTAACAATAGACCTGAAGCTATTTCTGACTAAGGTCTTCTTTGAATTGATATTTTTCGAAACTTCGAATTAAAAAGGTATGTTTTAAACCGATCATATCACGTGTAATATATTGTCCCGTCTATATATATTAATGATGCAAGCAAACGCAAATTTTGAAAAAATATCTTTTGACTTCAAATGAAAATGATAATAATATTTTTTTTTTATACTTAAGATCCATATAAATGAATAAAATTAAATTAAAGCAATAAACATACATTCTGCTGCAAAGACATGTCCACATTATTAACACATGTTACCAGCGTAGATGTTATTCAAATAACATTATACAAAAATATGACGGCAAAACAAACAAAATAGATATTGCTGGTATTAGCAGTTAGTTGCGTCAATTTCGACATATTACTTCAATATCATTACGGATGGTATCTTCGTAGTCCAGCAAAGGGCCACTACATCAAAACTGGCTTTTAAGTGGGTCGCCGTGAGTTACAAAATTGCCTTATGGTGAAAGGTATTCGTTTGTTAAAGATAATCGAATCGACCGAGTATGTACATCGATTGATAGAAATAGAGTATATACAAAATGATCTTTACGGAGATGTTTTTCATACAGTAGTTAGTAATTAATTATTCGAATTATTGAGCTCGATTTGACCTTAAATGTATGCTTCAATGTTCTTCTTTTTTTTCTTACTCCTTCAATTTTTGTGTAATGTTAGATATATTCTACTTGTAAGAATATTCCGAAAACTCTGTTTTGCAACCATTTTTGTATGTTATTCTAGCGTTTTTTTAATATTATTTTACTTATTTCTATATCTAGAATATCTCTTGGTCTATTGAAATGAAATGAAATGAAATGAATTTATTTTGCTAGAATGTAGGTAGTTTTCGATGAAAGAGGTTTACATTTCCCATATACATTCTGCCTCTATGTCGGCGTGCAAATTATTAACAATATGAAAAAATTACATAATTCTACATTATATTTCCCCTTATTAGTCATACTACTTAACACACACATATTTTATTTCTTATTATATGCCTTACATTCTGTTAGTCTAATTTCACTTAATTATGCAATTAAAAATAAGTTTATACTACATTATGATAGCCAAGACTGATCAATCTCCATCCATTTATTACATTGTGATTAATTATTTTTTATAACATCTTATAAGAGCAAAATATTATCTATATCTCATAAGTTTGTTTTAAACAAAATACTTTTAAGTGCAAAGATTACGATGTTATTAGCTTGTCGAATTATGATCTGCAGCATAGATTAAGTGTTATTAATTTCTTGTAATGTTACATCCATTCATCGATTGTTATCACCAACAGAAAAAGATCAATATGGGCTTGAGATTTCTTTAGACTGTATCTACCAATCATATTAATGTACAAACAAAAAAATCCTTGATAGTACCAATTCAATTACGCAATCCACGGGTAAAAAACAACAGAAAGATTAAAATTTATAACTTAATCTAGGTTAACAAAAGAGGACTCGTAGACGTATTGTAAAATAATATTACATGCCAGTTTCAGATATTTGGTTTTTAAATTTATAACATTATCATATTCATAACTCCACCATTGTTCTAAATAAGCTGAATGTGTTGTAATGTTTTCACAGGTGTTGGACTTTGTAAATTGAAGAAAACAAGTAGGTATTAGTATTGTATATGTTGACCGATGTATTTATACTACTATGAAAATAGTATTTGCATAGTTAAACTAAACGTAGGGAATTTAATTACCTATAATGATTTTATTCTTGTAAAAAATAAATGAGCAAGCATGAGATATGATATGAAAGTGGGTGAAGCAAGAGACGAATATTCAAATTATGACGAACAAAAAGACAAAGGCTACTGGCATCGGTACCTTTGCAATATCATGCTAAGTAATTTTGCGTGAACATATAAATAATTTAGGTAGCACCTATTAATACCCAAGTCAGATGTAGGTAGCTCAATATTGTATGTGAACAATATTTTATACTTCTTGCACGTTTCACATTTAATATTTGTCTTTGCTATGTTGACTAGTTCTGGAGTAACAATAATAATTATTATTATTACTTAAACAATAAATATTATTTAAGTAGGAATGTATGCATGAATATAAGTTTATATATTATATGGCTCTAACAATTTTTATAAATTTTAATTAATACACGGTGGTTTTAGGGGTGATAATTTTGTTACGTATAGGTCACCTCGCAGGAAATTAAATTTTATGAGCGAAGTCAATTATGTTGGAATGGCAATATAAATATTATAGTCCACATAAGAATTCGTTTCCTTTGTTGTAGTTGATATTAACTTGTTTTATTGAAACCGGACGGTGGTATGGCAGTCTCCTCATAGGGCGTACTGCAATTTTTACACAGGTATAGTTTATCCTACCTAGTATTACAAATGTGAAAGTGTATTTGTTTGCTACATCTTGGGTGCTTTATTAGTCCAAATAATCACAACATACACGTAGTGTTTACAATGAAAAAGGGCATATGTAGATTATTTTTTTACATGGCCACGTTATTAAATATATGAGATACTTTATAATAGCTAAACCAATCAACATAAATATCTTATACTGATAATTTCGTTTATAATTTTAAACAAGATATGACCACGTGCAATAGGGCAGGGCCTGCGCCTATCGCGCGCGCTGCAACAATTTAATATTAATATAACAAGCAAATTGAATTGTGTAATTTTGTGTGTATATATATTCACACAAAATTGTTTTTTGTGTGTCAGACACATTGTACTTTAAAAGTATCTTTCTGAATGTAATCATACCTAATTTTCGTTAATGTAATCTTAAAATCTCTTTCATTATTATGTTTTACAGAAAATAACGACGCAAAATATGTCTTTTTTCGTTGATAGTAAATTGCGTTGAATATAAATTACGCGGTTCGTCTAGGTTTGACCTTATCCACAATTTATGTATAGATTCAATTAGTTGGTCAATATTACATTACTTTAAATTAGTTACAATTACAAAACATGTTTTTCTTGCAGTAAACAAGTTTTATTTACATTTTGACGTCTAGCGTCTGCCGTTTTTAATCGAATATGACTTCAAGGTGAAGGAACTGCTGTTCGGTCGATATTTAGTTGACATTTTGTTGCTAGACCCTAGCGTCTTTAGCGGGGCGTTTTTCCCTCTTGGTTGTGCTAAATTGACTTTGTAATTTTTTTATTATTTTGAAAATACTTAATAATACTTGAAAAAGTTAAAGAACTAAATCCTATTTTAGAATACCTAATAAGAAAAGATGATCGTGTATGTGGAAAAAATGTCTGAGTGATCAATCAAGATCAGATATATCGTATCGCTTCGCCATCTCGTGCTTGTAATAAATAGCCCATATATCCATATTTTAAGAAAGAAATTCGCAACAATGTTGACGCAGTTATTACAATAAGTTTTAATGAAATCTGCTATATAAACTTTTTCAGTATGAAATCCCACGGATTTGGTCTCGCGAAGTCTATTCCTCCCAATCTCGGGAGGATTTCCTATTTTTTTCTAGATGGATAAGCAAACTGCGATAGAGCAGGAAGTTGTGTAAAATATTTCAGATTACATATACTTTTTGGTATATCATGAGGCTATCTTTTCAGTGAGTAGTATTTCATTCCGGCGAGACCACCGTTGCTTAGTTGTTAAGGTCCTCCTTGCTTCACATGCCTGGGAATTATGATACGTAGAAGTATTCTTTTTCTGCACGACGTTCTGCCATCTATTTCGGTTTTCAGCAGCATAAAGCAGTTATGTGATCAAATGGTCATAAATTAGGGTGGTATTTTGATATAAAAATTATCATCGTGTTGATGTAAAGTACGGTGCAGATAAATGATGAGTGTTGACAAAATCGAATTGAGATCAAATTTAATTCGCATCTAATACATACAGAAAGCCTTACATTTGACGTTTATTTTTTGCGATTTC